TAAGGCAACCCTTAAGACCTTAGGGATGGGGGTGACAGTAACTGATACTTAACAAGCCAATGGCTAAGGCGTTTGTGGTTTGTGGCCTTTAAAATGTTTTAATGATTGCAACCAGAAGAGAAGAACAAACTCCTTCTTTAAGGCTTCCTTCCGTCACCCCAGGCCTTTTTCCGGGACCTTCCAGTCCACAGGCCTGATAGAAGATCATGAACCTGGACAGCAATGCAAACCCCACGCCGGCGCGCACGCGGGCGCGCTCTCACACGCACACTTGAATGCCCAGCAATCCTTTTCCAAGGCTGTTCCCTCTTTCCGGGGAAATAAAGCCTAGATTGGAACCTTCTGCCGGCTTCCTCACTTGGCCGTCTGGTCTGCATTAGTGTTTTTATAAGGGACTCAAACAAATCGAATACAAGGTCACCAAATAATTAACAGTTGTGAATTCCCTCCGTCCCCATTAAAATACTTCCCTGCTTATATTTCATTTTCCGTTTGCCAACGACAACAGGGTCGGGGCAAAAGCGCTTCTGCGTTGATTACGCCACTCTGCGGCCCAGGTCCACCCAGAAACTCGCTGTTTTGCATAAACATGCTGTCCCAGACGAACTTCAATCGCGAGGGAGCTCTGCAGCTCTTAGAATACCCTCCCCGCAGCACGGCTAGCCCAGTTGTCCTGCCCTGCCCCCAGATAATCGCGACCCAGAAGGTAAACCAAGAAGCCAACAATGGGCGGTGGCAAACTTTTCAGCGATTCATTTCTAGGGTGTCAAGTTCCGATGTTCTGATATTCCGATCTCGTTTTTGGTTTTTATCTGTTCCCTACTGCCTCCTTTCTGAAAAGGCTATTCTAACAACAATAACCAGGAAAAAATTTTTTTAGGAGTCTTCTTATTTCCAAATCATCTGGAAACCGAACTCGCAGCAGTATTCCTAGACTCATTTGGTTTCTTCCCAAACCAAGGGGGAGGTTTCTTCCCCCCTTGTTGGAATTATGTGGCACTTCTCACTCCATAAACGGAAAGTCTGAGGTTTGTTTCTCTCTTTCTCTCCCCCTCTATCTCTCAGCCACGTTGAATTCACAGAAGTTCCAACTGTCTGCCTTTCTCAGGCCCCAGGGTTGGGGCCCTAGGGCTCCAGTACCAGCGGCCTTTTAATGGTTCCACCATGCACTAACTGTAATTTCTCTATATCCAACCTGATCCATTCTGATCTTATAACTGCACCAACACACACCTGCACACACTTTCCATCTTTCTGGATTCAAAATCATTTTAAGAGCACAATATGGAGGGATATTTAAAGATCAGGGATAGCAGGGTTCGTGCCTTTCCAGAGAGCACAAAGAGGAAGCAAAGCACAGCACGGATTCGGACCCTCAAATCCAAAGTTCCACTCCAACTCCAAACTGGATCTTAAGAAATCACCGAAGAATATTAGACCAGATGGGAAATCTGCCCATTTTTTTTTAACTTCTGCTTCCTGCCACCATCCTTAGAAACCTCCTCACCCTTTACCCTACCCGTGTAGTGCCATAGTTAAGCATGCAGGATCTAGAATTGGATATGCGCTTCACCCCTCTGTATGACCTTAAGCAACTTGCTTAACTTAACCTCTTTGTCTTCCTTAATTCACCTGTAAAACAGTGATTATAGCACTTTCCCCAGGGGTTGTTGTTAGAATTAAATGAAATAATTCAGGTAACAGATTTTAGCACAGTACTTGGTATGCAGTAAATGCTCAATATATGTTGGTTAGTATTACCCCTGGATGTTTGGAGAGCAAATCGAAAGGAGGGACATTTAGAAAATAAAACTTGCAGTAAGTTCTCCTCTTTGGGTGTGTGTGTGGGGGGGAAGGTGGCAAGGGTGAGGTAATAGAGAACGTGCTATCTTTATAGACGCAAAGCGCTCTTCTTTCACTTCCGACTGATTTTTATCCCTGCTTGCCCACTCTTAATCTCAAGCCTGAGGGGTAACTTTTGAGCTTCCGGGGTTCCCGGGCGAGGAAGGCTATTTACAAATAGTGTACATTAGCAAGGAGTTCTTGCCTCCTGAACAGGCTTCAGAATTCCTTCCATTTTCTTTGCTCCTCCCCCTGAGGGTCCCCAGCTCCGCCAAGCCAAGCCTGCCGCACTCGACGGCGATTTAAACATCCCCGAGGCAAGGCGCCAAGTCAGCGCGGCTGGCCCAGCTCTCGGCTGGCCGCGGCTCTTTCCTCCTTGCCCCGCCATCCACGGGGTGGGGGAGGGGATGTAGGCGGGTTTGGCGCGGTTGAGAGTCCCCACGTGAGAGGGGCGGAAGTCCTCGCGGGGAGCCGGGGATGCGCGGCTGGCGGGTCCCTTCCATCACGGGAGACTAGACACCGTTTGATGTGTTATGACATGAACCCTCAATTAGATCGCTGAGTTGAAACACTCCAATCAGGGGCCCGATGCTAAGCAAGCCCCGGAAGGTCCAGCCCGAGGTCACCGCCGGTGACACATCAAATCAAAATCAGTGAGAGGGAAAGTGAGGCTTTCCCTTTATCAAGCTGGCGCTGTAGCCCGCAACACACCCCCTCCTCTGCGCGCCCCCTCCTGCCTTGGGCTCCGCACTCCTTCACCCCGGAGCGGCGTGCGGCGAGCCGCACAGCCTTCCCAGCCAACTGACTGCCCTTCTTTGCGTTTGCTGGGAACCTGAGAGCGTGGAGGAGACCGTGCCTTCAAAGCTGCGGTCCAAGTGGTCACTCCCCGTCTCCTCCGGCTGGGGACCGCGTTCCAGAGTTGAAGCCGACGTCTGGATCTTGGTCCGGCTAGCCTGGAGACCTTGGCTCGGCAACAGAGGTCCCCTGGGCCTGGGCTCGCAGCCAGTCCCTTTCCCTACCTCCGGCGCCCGGGGACGCCCCCCGCGGTGCCGGGGGAGAGGATGCAGCGCCCGCAAGGGTGAAGCGAGCCCGCGTCTGCGCGGGACCTGAACTCCCCAGAGACCTCCCACTCCTGCCTGCACGCCCCAGGCTTCGGTAGACACCTCCGAACAGCCTGCAGGGTCTCTTGGTCCCGTGCCAAACTCGCAGGGCGAAGCTTACGAGTTAGGGGTGCCTGCTTGGGGGAGGGGCGGAGATTCTTGCCACTTCCTTTGGGGAAAAGAAAACTTGCGCCCAACCGCCCGCCAGCCTGGGCCTCCGGGATTCCTTCCCCTGGGGAAAGGCCTCTTGAGCTATTTTCTCTGAGCTTCCTTAGTGTCTCCACTAGGGATGTGCAGGGTAGTCTTTGACTAGAGGAGTAGAGAAGACGGACGGTAAAGACGATTTGGAGGGAGGGAGACAACCGAGGCAGGGCAAAGACTGGTGGGGGGGGGAGGAGGGGCGAGCTGCGCTGGCAGCACGGGGGTTAGGGATGCAGTTGCAGCACTACGAAGAAGCCGTGTGTATCTGCAAAGGTGACTTTAGTAGTCCTAAAATCACCATAAAATAGCAGGCGTTAATTTGCCGGCCGGACCTTTCAGCAGCTCATGAACCTCTCTGACCTCGGCTGCAGCGGCGAACCGAGCGTGGGCAGGAACCCTGGCCCACAAGGAAGGTGGCTACAAGCGTGGAGGCTGGGTCTGAAGCCCGGGAAGAGCCCGGGGCTTGGGGGCCTGGGGGCTCTTAGCCTCCTCCGAAAAGCTCCGTGGACGAGCATGTACTCATGGCAGGCGGGGAGGGAGCAGCCCCGTCCGCCTGAACCCTGGCGCTCGCCGGTTCCCGAGCCACCCCACTTTCATTGACCTGGAAGTGGGAGGAAGTGGGAGGCGGGGAAGTGGTCAAAGCCGCGAACCTAAGTCTCTATCCTTAATCTTTTTTTTTTTTTTTTAATCTTCTCCTTCCTTTCTTCACGTCCCCTTCCGCCCCTTTCCCTTTTCTTTCCTTCATCTCCCTTCCTTTCCTGTCTCCTTCCACGTTATTGTCTCCCCTCTTTAGGAGCTGAGTTCCTGGCGCCTGTGGATCCCTCCTCAGTTTCTGGGACCAAGGGGAGCTCGAGGTTCTCTCGGAGGCACTCACCGCGCGGACGAACGCGGGTGGCAAGGAGTGGGTGCAGGAGTTTCCGAAGGCGCCCACTCTTGCACCCACGCCCTCAGAGGGGACCAGGGACAGGGACCCTGGGAGCTCAGAGAGGGGAGCGATGCCTGGCTGGAAAGGTGGATGTGCATATCCATGCACCCATATGAATTAAGTACCAACAAATCCCTGGACTTAGTTGCCCTGCCCCTGACCCATCCTGCCGGTTGCTGCCCCTGCCCTAGCAGAAACTACTCGCTGGCCGTCTCGCAGCGGTGAGCGCGCTGGAGGAGCAAAAAACGCCCGAGGGCGCGGGGCTCCTGCCGGGCTGATGATCCCCACATCCAGTGTAGGGAAGGGCTGAGAACCCGTGCAGCGGCTGGGTCAGGGCATTGTCCAATGCAGTTCGCGGACTTGTTCCTCGGACCGCGGGACTTGCATCTGCCGGCTTTTCCCCCACCGCGATCGGATGGGAGCTCGGGACTTTCCAACGCTCACTCATGCCCCATGTCTCCCCCCACCCCCACCCCGCCCCGGCCCGGTCGGCCACGGCAGCTCAGGCCTTGTACCGCGCTCCGCGCACAACCCGAGACCCCGTGGCAAGTGTGCCCTCAGTCCCCGCCGCGGACCCTCTCCAGACCCAGTCATTTGCCTGCCACCTCCCGTCCTCCACGCTTCCTCCACCAGCCACCAGACGAGCGGCCACCGAGCTGCTTTCTGCAAAAGACAAGAGAAAGAAGGAAGGAAGGGAGAAAGGAAGGAAAGGAAAGAAGGAAGCGAGGAAGGGAGGATTGCAAACTGGAATAAAATCTGCAGCCGCATTCAGAAACTTACTGGGCTTGAGAAAAACAATTTAAGAAAAGAAAGGGGGGGGTGTCCAGAGCAGGAAGGGAATTCACAAATGTAGCCTCCTGCCAGAGCCGGAGCAGCGCCGTGGCTGCGGAGCTCCAGGGAGAGAGGCGTGGGGCATCTTCTTTGCCACTTACCTAGTCCCCTGTCTACAAAGCTAGTGATCGTATTAGCCGACTTGGAAGACTGGAAAAAGCTGGCATTGATGCCCAGCTTCTCGGCGATGGAGTAAGTCCTGTAAATTGACAGCATGTACTCGTGGGGCACCACGCGCGGGCCCCTGCCAGGAAGCTCCTGCGCTTGGGGCTGCTGCGGCGGCCGCCGCCGGGGCTCATCCTGTGGCCGCGGTCCTGGCTCGTGGCGCTCCAGGGGCGCCCGGGCCGTGGTACTGTCTCGTGGCGCCCGCGGCATCTTCCCTTCCTTGCGACTTCGCATTCCCTTGGCAGAGCCCAGCTCCGCGGACGACGAGGAGGAGGAGATGGAAGCCTGCTGGAAACCGGGCAAATCCCACAGGAAACTGATGAGGAAGACGGCCGACAGCAGGACTCTAGGAGTATCCATGGCGAGCGAGTGGCAGCGTCTCCCGGAGAGGCGGCGGCGCAGGGCGCGAGGGGCACGGAGCGGCTGGACAGCGGCCGGGGCCCGGCTCCTCGCGCGGACTCCGAGTGCAAGGAGCCGGGTCCCAGCCACACAAACCCCGGCCCTGCCACGCCCCCTCCCGCCCCTCGCCGGGAGGGGAGGGGAAGGAGGGGAGGGGAGGGGAGAGGAGGGGAGCGGAGGGTGGGAGGAGAGGCGGGTGGTGCGGCCAGGAGGTGTAGGGGAGAGGGGCCGCCGTGTGTCGGTGTGGCTGGGAGGCGCAGCGCCCCCGCGGGACGCGCGCGGGGTTGCCGGGCGGCGTGCGCAGAGCGGGCCCAGAGCGCTGGGCGGGGGAAGGCGGGCGCGGTAGCCCGGCGGCATCCACAGCGCCAGAGTCCCCCGAGCACTGTCCGAAGCTCGGTCCCCCCGGGGCGCCGCGCGGGCCCTAGGGCCTCGCCGGTCGCCTCCACTGTCCGGGGAGCGTGCAGCCCGGGAGGAGGGAAGCGGCGGCGGCGTCCCCCAGAGACGGCTCCCGGCCGGCGCCTCTGCAGCGGACTGCGCTCTGGCTCCGGGTGGTGGTGGTACCGTCTTTCCTCGGCCCCAACCTCCAGGCCGGCCGTTCACTGCCTTCAGGGGCCAGCCCGGGGCCAGCGAAGCCTCGCCGCGTCCCAGGCGCAGGGCCCAGCCCCGAACAGCCCCATTCTCTCGGTGGGGTACCGCTCTCCACAAAGACAGGGCGTCTGTTCCCGACCCTCGAGGTCAGGCAAAGGCCACGAGTCTTTAGAGTCTGGATGGATGCTAAAAGCTGCCGCGCTCTACTGCAGGCCCCAGCCTCTCTTCTCGCAGTCCCCAGCCTCTTCTGACGCTGGCTTTAGCGGGTTCTTTTCTCCTCGGTCTGCTCCCCGGGTCCTCTTTCCTCTCGCGCCTCCACGGCATCCCCATTTTCTTTCTCTTGTTGCCCTCCCGCCTTCAATCCTTTCTCCTTCCCTAAGTTCCTTCTGCATTCCAATCCCCCTTTCCCCAGCCTGCTTTTCTTCGCACATTGCCCTCCCATCTCTGCCCTCCCACCCTCTCCCCCCGCCGCCTCCCCCTCCTCTTTCAGTGGACCCCTCCCTTTGCAGCTCTTCCCCAATCTGTTTCTCTTCAGCCCAGCCTCGCCCCATCACGAGTTTCCTTTATCTGTCCCCAGATTCCCCGTGCGTGTCTTCCCCGCCCACTGCCTCGTTCACTCCCGGGCCTGAGCGCTGGAAGTCAAGGCGGAGGGCCGCTTCTCTCCCACAGTGCTCTGTGCCCTGGAATGCTAGGGACGTAGTCTCCTTGTGCATTTATTGGGTGTCCCACCACCAACCGCAAAATGCTCTCCTTTCGTCTCCCTACAGCTCTGTGAAGTTGGCCTTACTATTTTCACTTTCACAGATTTAAAAAATGACACAGACAGGGGATGAGTGACTTTTCCAATGACACTCAGCCCAGAGGACATGCAGCCAGGGACAGAACCCACAGCCAGGACCCCAAATCCAGGGTTCCCATTCCAGCATAGAAGAATTGCTCGCCCACCCAGTATCTCTCATTCTTTTTTTTTTTAATTAATTAATTAATTTATTTATTTGACAGAGAGACAGAGAGCACAAGTAGGCAGAGGGGCAGGCAGTGGGAGAGGGAGAAGCAGGCTCCCCGCTTGAGCAGGGAGCCCTAGGTGAGGCTCCATCCCAGGACCCCAGGATCATGACCTGAGCCGAAGGCAGAGGCTTAACCAACTGAGCCCCCCAGGCACCCCAGTATCTCTCATTCTTGACTTTTTCTTTTCCTTATGGTTTTATTTGCTCTCAGATGATTTCCTCCCACACTGCTTTTTATGTGTGTGTTCCCAATCTTCTGTTCCCCTCTCACTGTTGCTTTTCCCTGCCTTTTTCTGTCCCTGCACTGTCCACTCACCTGACTGCAAGGGGATGAAGTTGCACATCCCCGCTCTCTTCATGCTTTAACTGCCTTAAGGTCTAGGCTATGCCTTCCGTCCTGGACACTAGGCCTCCTCCAGGGCATGGCAAACACCTAAGAGAACTTGTGTATTGGCAGGGTTGTAAGCCCTTTACATATATCATTTCATTTAATCTTCAAAACAGTCTTATAAGGGCTGTACTATCCCTATTTTACAGGTAGGGAAACTGAGGCCCAAGGTCACACTGCTCCAGAGTCTGCCGGCTGCTCTCTTCCTCCTCTCCTCCACAGATGCCCCATGGCCCTATCCCAATCCCATATATATCCCCTAGTTTTGATTTCATAATTGTCAGGTTCCTACCTTTAAACTCAAAGGTGCTTTACCATAGCCTTATCTTCTTCCCTCTCTCTGTGCTTTAAAATTTTTTATTATTTACTAAATTAACAACATAAAAGGAAATGGAACTGAAACGGGACAAAATTGTTTCTCAGATTCTTGCCACTCCAACAAATCACCAAATCAAAATGTTTTTACCTTTATGGGTTCCCTTCCATTCCTTCTTTATTTGTCATGCCCATGGTTTTCCTATCCTTGCAATCTAGGGATAGATACCTTGCTGTATCCTGGCCTGTCACTTAATACGACGCCCAAAGCATGTCTGCTGGCCCTTCTTTTCATTTTTTTGGCTTGGTTTTGTACCACTGCCAAGTCTATTGTCCTTGACATCTCTCCTCTGTGCCTTCCTGCCCCTCTTTGCAAGTCTTCACCACCTCCCTCCTGGCCTGTGCAGGCCACCTCTTCAAAACCACAGGCTCAAAACTCATTGCTCACCAGCACAAGCCACGTCGCCCCTTCTGCCTACCTGTCACCCCTGAGATGCACGTGGTCTAGCCGGGCCTGCCCGGCTTCTGGCTTCTTACATCCGCCTCTCCTGTGTCATCCAGGAGAGGCTTCCTCCTTGTGGTCTCTCTCCATCCCTTCCCTCGGGGAAATGAACACTTGTGGTTTGTGTTATCAGTGTTTTAATTTCTATCAGTATGGAGTCTGGTTCATGATGATTCATGGTTTCAGACCCCCCATCCAATAGGAATGTTCCTGCCTGCAACTGCAGCCCAGCATGTTCTCTCTTCATTTGCTCACAGCAATCATTATCAGCTACAAGTTATCGGTAAACAGGAAACAAAGTAATGAGCCTATTTGCTGTGGCTTGGGATCTCTCAGCACACTAGATGGAGTGGTGTGTTCGCGTAAATGACCCTGGGACAGGGACCACAAAGGATGTGGTCTGTCTTCCCGGCTCCAGGATTCCCCCAGGGCAGATATTCCTCCCTTTCATTGCTACCAGCCTCTGGTCTAGGCAAGGAAATTGCATTGTCTCCCAGGTGAGCAAACAAACAGCGGCTGGGCCCAAGGCCGAAATTCTAGTCAGTTGGTCCAGTCAGGACTGGGAGGCAAGTCTTTCTGACTTAAATATTTCCAATGTCGTGACAATGAGCCACAGTAATGTATAAAGCCTTATCTCTTCCTCCCTCATGGATGTGTTTCAAATAGGAATTCACCCCAGTGTTAACGAGGCCATGCCAAGGCCTTTGCTCTGTGTGTGTGTGTGCGTGCACGCACGCGCATGGGTGCGTTAAAAATAAAGATACAGAGAAAAAACTACAAGTGAACATATGTTGTCAGATCTTCTCACAACAGTTTGAGAATTTGAACTAGTATATAGAATTTAAATTTTCAGTCCAGTCTTTGATTCTCTCATAAGTTCTTCAGTAGTTTCATCTATGAAGAACCTAAAAAAAAAGGCTAAGGGGTTCTTGAGCTGAATGAGGTCGGCCAGGTTGGCCGTACACACCAGGGCAGCTCCCCCCCCCCCCCCCCATTCTGTGCTCGGATAGCTCTTTCCCCCAACACGGAAGGCAGCAGGAACAGCTGTGCAGTATGGTATGTCCTGCCCCCCTGTGGACAACGACGGAGTTACCTGCCAAGAACCAAACCCGCGCTGGAGGGGGAATGTTTACAGGAGCTTGGCAAGATGAACAAGGGAGAGTGACATCCATTAGCATGATTTTAAGAAACTAGAGAGTCACAAATGAGGTGTGTGGAGCATTCGACAACAAAACAACCATACATGAGAGATATGTGTGCCCAGAAATATTGGACCCAAAGCAAAGAGAATTGTCCTGTTCCTGTCTGAAATCCGTGCTGCTACTATCTTCAAGTTATTATTTCATAGTTACCCAGGGAGAAAGATTCTCTTAAAGAAATAAAGGAGTTTATCTCTTTTATTATGTCATGTTTCATTCAAGTGCCAGTCGAAAGGCAACTTTTATAAAAGTGAGTGAAGAAATCTGACTTTTTGTGCGCGCCCTCCCCACAGGGGAGGCGACGGGTTCTGGGAATATAGTCTAGTGACATATTTGCACAAATGAAAGAACTGCTTTTGTTTGAGGTACCATCTTCAGAAAGTCCTAGTTAAAATACAAATGTTCTTGAGTAGGGTCCCCATTCATAGTTTATGACCACCGTTACACTATTCTGAATAAACTGATAAAAGTGGTGATCTGATAAGACTAGCTAGTCTCACCTGTGTGGACCAAGAGAAATGAGACTTAAGACTGGTAGATATTGCTTAATAGAAAGCAAATAACAGAAAGGACCCAAGCAGTGGGTTTAAAACTCTGAGGAGGAGACCAACTAGCCAACCAGGCAGGGCTCATGATGCCCATCCTTACTCCACCCTAAGCAGCCCTGCTCTTATGGTTTTGACATTTTCATAAAATTTCATCTGCAGACAAGATCCCTCCAAAAGGACAAAAGAAGCCATTGGCTTAGAGTATTGGGCCATGTTCCTCAAAGAAAGTGGAAAATGTAGCAGCAGGAAGAAAGGTAAGGACTCTGCCTTAGAAAAGCAGGAGATAAGACAAAACAAAAACAAAGGAAACACTAAACGACAATAACAGCAACCAAACACCGCTGAGGGAAGGGTGCGCAGAAGCTACCACTTCTCCTTCACAGCTCAGACTGGGAGCTACCAGCTCTGTAATCCTTCCTGCTTTCCTCTGTTTATATTGAGACTGATAATTCCATTTCCTCTGTTTCCTTGCTTGTTGGCTTTGGCACTCCCAGTCTTTCACAGCAGGACTTACAAACAAGTTAAATGAAATGGAATGAAGAGTAGTGCCCGATGATCTAATACTCTCAAGCTCTCTGGGCCTCGGTTTCCCCACTCCACCAGCTGCCTCCAACTTGGTGTCATGCCTACCACCAGTATGACAGTACTGAGATTGGCAGGGAATGGTGACTTTGGGTTCTGAATATTGAAAGAAGCACGAAGACCCATTGGGGCATCCGATCAACCCAATCACTGCTCTCCTTTGGGGACACCACAGGGCATGTAGATGTCCAACCATATTGTAGTTTGTCAATACCAGTAGTTCTCGAGGGGACTCCCCTGGACCAGCAGCATCAACATCACCCTGAACCTCGTTAGAAATGCAAATTCCTAGGCCTTACCCCAGATCTACTGAATCAGAAACTCTGGGGCTGAGACCCAGCCACTGACAGGTCCACAAGCCCTCAGGGGATTCTGAGGCATGCTGGGGTTGGAGAACCTTTGGTCTGCGCCCTGAGATAGGGGTAATCTACCTGCCAAGAACTTCAAGAAATGCTTTGATTTTTAAGAGGGAGCTGTAAAGGAAATGCATAGTATGCAATTTTATTCTCAAATTAGTGATTCTTATTCCTAATGAGCAAATAATTTTCATTCCCCATGCGAACCAGGTGTATTTAATTGCCTACAGGGCTAGCAGGCAAAAAGTGCCTCATCTGGTCAGATCTCTCAAAGCAAGCAGGGTTGGGCCTGTTTGGAACCTGGAAGGGAGACAAAAACAGCATCAGAATGAAACGGGCCGTAGACATCTTGTGTACTATGGATGTGAAAGAAGGAGGAGGGGGTTGGAGCTGATGGTTCTGATCCCAGTTCTGTCTCACATGAACCCAGAATCTTCTAACTCAACTTTTGTCCCCTCCGATGGAGGT